CCCCCGCCGGTAGGAGCAGTGAGTTTGGGGTTTTTCTTGTTTTGTTTTGTTTTTTTAAAGGGCCAGAACTGCGGCAGGCGGGGCAGCCATGGGAGGGCTGGGAGAGCAGGTGGGGGTCAGGGGGCTTGTGCAGAGCCCCCCATGCAGTGTGGCGGGCAGCCAGGATCGCCCCCCCCACAGCAGCACCTGCTGAGCCGGGGCTTTTATTTCCCCAAGTGTTGGAGCTGGGGCAGGCAGAACAGCCATTGCTGGGCTGGGAGAGGGGCAGGGGATGGGCCTGGTTGATTTGGAGATTTGGCTGAATCGAATCAGGACAGTGATTTGAATCACTGAATTGTATCACTGTCCCCCAAATTGTCCAAATCTGAGGCAAATACTAGCTGCTTCACACAGGCCTATCAAATATCTTACTGAATCAACAGAATCCACTTAACTCTTTCCCAGCAAAACAAGCATGAGCAGACATGGTGGACTATCACAAGTAAACACTACTGGCTTCTTAGGCTGCATTTCCAAGGAATGTGAGGAGGGGAACAGAAAGCTGACGTGAGCCAGAACAAACCTCAGCTTTGGATGAACATCCAAATGTTGCAGCTTAGTCCATTCCCAATAGGAAGGTATTAATATTTTATGCATCAGCTCTAATGCACCTTGCCTCACCTATTCTCTAGGTGGAAATTTTAAGACCATTAAAGTTGGCAGCCAAAGGAACTAGAGGAACCAGCCAAATATGAGGGATTTGAAAAAATGAAGACAAAACCCTCCTGAAGGTTTAATTATCTGGGGAGTGGAGACTCCCTACACTAGTATCCTGCTCAAAGCATCTTTCCCAGGGCTAACTTCCAAGTGCACACCTTGCCCTTGGGAAGAACTGTTCATTTAGGCACTTTATTTGGTTGCTAGCCTCATGTTGTTTAGCATGTACTTGGGAGTTTTTCAGCAGCACAGGAAATGCAAGGGAACCCAATCTTGCCATTCTTGTCTAGTGGGAGGTTACCAAAAAGGGGGCCCATGTAGATATGTGTCCAGATAACAAGTTGAGACTCATGCTCCAATCTATTCCTTCTGAGATAAGTCCAACCTCCACCCATATCCAGCCCTACCTCTTTTTTTTACCATGTGCACTAAAGTGCATAAAGGAGGAGGAAAGGGAGGTTTGAAATATACTTCCATTCAGCCAGGAGGATAATTCTAAGCCATGTATACATCTGCCAATCACACCAGCACTGGAGCACAACCACCTTGGGTTTCTTGCTGCATACTGGGCAGATCTGGCATTTTCTACTGCTGGGACCAGGTGCAAAGCTGCAAATGAAACTGGAACCTGTGTCATAAGTAAAAAAAAAAAAGCTTGAAGAAAACTCACAAGCTGGGAATGGAAAGAAAATTAGATTGAAGTCATCTACTACTGGCAGGGTGTGGGTAGTTATGTAGGAGGATGGGGCTTATTCCAAACATTAGCAGTAACTGTAGTGGTAAAAATGGGTTACATTATTAATCAGAAAGGGCCACTGGAGGAGGAAAATTTAAAGTGGGCGGAGAAAAAAATCTTTCTAATGGAGTTATCCATTAGCTTATGGAATAATCTCCAAAAGAAAACTATGAAAGGGAGTCAGACAAGGGTGATACACATATAACTTCAACAGCAGAGTTACTTTAGTTAGTGCTGAAATTTTTGAAAGAGGCCTTAAACCTAATGCCTTTGGACTTAAGCCAATCTCTTCTAAGAGATTTGAATGAGAATTAGAACATAGATTCATAGGTGTTAGGGTCGGAAGTGACCTCAATAGATCATTGAGTCTGACCCCCTGCATAGACAGGAAAGTGCTGGGTTCAGATGACCTCAGCCAGATGCCCATCCAACCTCCCC